AGAAATGGAACTGGCTTTATCCATGGCTGAGGATGTCTGGGTTATGCCATTACTCTGGGACAAGCTCTTGAACGACACCACTGTTTTCAATGCTGAGAGTTTTTCTTGATCTGAAAGCCACGTCTAACTCTCAGTCGTAAGGAACCTTCGCGGTGTCTGGCGATCAAAGTCAATTCCAAATTTATATCCCTTTTTAGGAGACCGCACGACGGCGGGGACACTGTCAGGCTTCCCAAATTTGGACAATTCGAGTGGCGGAGGTCGGGTTCGAACCACGGACTTTCCAGTCATTAAATTCGCGCTCTAACCACTCAGCCATCCCGCAGATTAAATATCTTACGCCCCAACCACCGAGCTATCTCGAGCTCTAGACTTTGTAAACTGGCAGTGTTGCGGAACGCACAGTTTCTGAACGTCTCTGTATTCAGTGTGTGATACTGGAAGCTGTGCATCATCATACGAAGTTGGATTAGCTTTGACAGTAGCGTGACAGACGAAATCAACCCACTAATCTCGAAGAGCGGAATAGTTTTTGCCAATTGACACCATTTGTCATCAAGAAGGAATATCAAGAGATCCGAAAGGATGCGTGTATAGGGCTACTATACGAACTTGGCCGTTTTGGGTGGATGACCTGGGATATGTTCGGGCCCTTCACCATGGCTGACGCCATTGAAGCCAATGACGTCTTGCTGCCTTTGAATACCCTCACTTTCAATGTCTACTGTCAACTCGGTTCATGCTCTGTATTTACGCACCAATTTATCAGCTCCAGCCTCCGATACGCAGCTACCTCCCCAAATAATTGGTGAACCAAACTGTGCGACATGTACGCGGTTCTCACGGCTGTCAATGATGATGATGATGTACGGAATGCGGTTGGAAAAATGAAATGGTGTCACAGTGCGCTGAGTATCTTTCTGTGTTCAACTTGCCTAGCGCTAAGAATAGTGCTCACAGTAGGTGCGTTTGAAGCCGCATCGATCTCTAGTAAGAATAGCTCTTTTTGATCACATTCACTGATATTCACGGTCAACAGCTGGACCAGGATCGAGCCCTCGAGTCTTGGTCGTTGCTACATAGGCCTAGCGATATCACCAACCCATGGTTCTAAGCGGTTTGGTTACTTTGCACCGAATACGCCAAAAACTGAACGATTCGAACCAAATTTACAGATTCCATCATTATGGGTTGTGATTACAATCCTGTATTGGCATTTAAACCGAGGGTGTACATCTAGTAATTGCGACCTCTTACAGGGTGTTTCTTTTCTTGACGTTTTCCATGAGTATACTCTGTAGCTGTTCAACCGAACTGCTTCCTCTATTAAACACACGTACACGAATGCTGGACGTTTCCACTCAGTTTTTTGTTCTCGTTAGTTATATTTATGATGTAGGAAATTGAAAGACAGAAAATATATCCTCATTTAGTAATAGAATGGACTTACAACTATTATTTATCGTTTATTTTTGAAGAGCATGATCACAAACATAAAAGGTGAATGCAAGCGACAAACGCGAAAGGGTTACAGGAGAATATGGGAGAAAAGAGAGAAACGTCTCATTCGAATTCATGCCACTAATAGTTCCGGTAGATGAGATGAATCCCAACGTATGTAAAAGTTTTGATATGGAAACACGCGTCTAAAGACTAACAATCGAAGAAAGGACAAACAATGTTGAATGCTCTTCAAGGCGCGGTGAGCGCTAGCACAATCAAAACTCGCACATCAGTGTCCGTCATACTGGGTCTGGTGTGAGATTAGATGGCGAAAGTGTACACTCAACGCCATGTGCCACGCCTAAAGGTGTCATAAGTACGCAGACAGCCTACAGTGGCAAGCAAACACAAGTCACTGACTGTGACCTTAGGAAGTCCCAGTCCAATAACAGCCACACCCTCACCAACCGAAAAATATTTTCTGACATCCAACGCTTATCTACTATGCTGGTCCAGATACTGCGGAGCGGTTCCCCGCCTGCTTAAAAACTTGATCAATGCAGTAGCCTACTCATCTGACCGGGTGAAATAGTTGCATCAAAAACGACTCTGTCCAACTGTATCCCTGTCTACTAATTGTCTATTAAAGTTTTCTGAAAATATGGCCATTCATTTGGTTCCAAAGATTTTCCGATTAATGGAACTTTTTAGTTTATGACTGCAAACAGTTTTCCGGCTCTTCGCAGACTCCCTACAAAAACCGATCGTCACCGGTATTTTCTTGGGACTGGACCATCCTAAAGCTCCACGGAGCCAACTGAAATCGGACGCTTTGGTGTGATGCTACCGGTGTGGGGATGAAGATTAGATTCTTTGATTTAAAATGACAGTTATCTTTGTATGCTTTACGTACCGAGTATCTGTATGGATGTAGTACGATGGTTGAACTGACTACTGACTATTTGATACCGGCAGTCAGCGGGTCCGTATCCTGGATGTAGATCCACACAAACCTCAATTGAAGCGCTCCGCTCAGGACAAACCGTGAGCACCTGGCAATGAGACAAACAAATTGAACCAACAGTTTGTAGTCATCGCTGCCTGGTCATGACTTGTCGCTCCCATAAACGTGATCACTGTTTAAAGGGAGTAACGCGTCCTGGAAAGGATATTGGATTACCAGGTCGTGCAGGTAGACTGATCCAACATGATGCATTGAAGCAAGCTGGACGGAATTGGATCTTTTGACGCAGGACGAGCTCTGGATTTAACGCATTGCCGAGCATGCATGTCAACAGTTTGTCTGAGGTATAGCAGCCTCCTCAACAATAATGTGTGCACGCCATCAAAACTGCTGCCAGTGTCCTTGGCTAATGCGGAAAATGCACTAGTTTATCATTACGAAGTAAACTAGACTGACTTCAGCTGAAAACTCATTAACTCCACATTTTGTCGTTTAGTATTCAACCAAATATATACCTCGTGGGTTGCTTCGGAATTCAAAAACACGAAGCCTCAGCAGCAGACGACTCATTTGCAGGCTGAGGCAGCGTCAACGGGGATTCGAATGCATTTGAGCGATACTCAGCAACCCATGCACCGACAAACGACAGAAGTAGAACCAAATTCGAGCAGATATCTCTCGATGAGAGATTCACAAGGAATATGAAACTCGAACTGAGAGTAGAATCAGTTAGAGCCAGGTCACTTTTAAAAACAGTGTTTCTGTATCAACCGCAGTACTAAACTACGAAGTCTGGATACAAAATCCTAGCGACCACCACAAAAATAAAGAAGGACATGTTTGTAGGCAAAATTTATATTTTAAATTGTTCCGATCCGAAAAATTCGAAGGACAGCGTATTTTGAAAGACTGGTGTATCCGGGTGTGTATTGCAGCCGATAGAGATCAAAATCTCCGCGACAGAACCGAATAGAAAAAAAACGGAAAAAGAAAGTTGTGGTATAAATACGGAGAAATAGAACCAACTTAGTGATAGAGGGTTCACAGAAGAGAGTGCGCCGATCAGCCTAAAAGAAAAAAATCAAAACAATATTTAAGACTGGTACGATAACGTCAATAACAAGATTGGTCATGGGAGGAATAAAAATGACTAGATAGAAAAAGAACCGGTGAGCATCGCGAAAAATGGCAAATGCTTCAGTTGACACCGGCTGATTGAACCAGTTTGTAGAAACAGACATGAAAATCAATAAATAGAAGAACGGGGAGATGTCAGTCAATCGGAAGGGCGGAAATGCATCAGTTGAACCGCAGTGACAGACAAGCACAGCGGGTTTTGTCTGTGTATGCGCATAGTTCATTTGTCTAAAATAGATGAGGGTCCGTGTGAAAATTATCGATCGGGGGGAAGAAGGAATAAACATAATCACTGGAAAAGGAAGTTCGTGATGGTCATTTTGTTCCCACGGGTATGAGATGAAAAAGCGCAAAGTGCATGTAGTATGAGGGAGGAATATTCCGTTTGGAAAGTAGTTGAAAAACAAAACTCATGAAATTTGGCGTTGAGATTTGGAGGGGAGAGGGGAACGCAGAGTTGTGATATCGCTGAGCAGAGACAGGAAGATAGAAGGCACGTAACAGCATCGGACGAATAGCCAGATGTACAGGATGCCTAAAGTTGGACGGGGAAGGATATTGAATTGTCTGATTTACTTAGGCTATGTGCAGATGAATGCTGCATCGGTTCCATCGCGGATCGCTGAGATGATGTGAGCAGACCGGATCGTGAACTCGCTGGAGTATGTGATCCACTGGATGGTGCTCGGTTTGGATCCACAGACCGCTGAACACGATATCGATGTTGTCGATGAGATGGCGCTCGAGAACGACGCGGACCAATAGACTCCGTTTTCATCCTATAAATCTGGTTTGATGCCATCGTACCAGTAGCGGTTGTTGGGTTGGTGGGGAATTCCGTCGACTGTGACGTTTGATCTTTCATTAGAAGTCGATGCGAATGTGCGGTGCGTCCGTGAGAACTACCACTACCAGTAGTAGCAGATCCAGCACCAGCGTACGATGTCCCACGAAATTTGTTGGCGGAATCGCCAGAGAATGGTGGAATAATTTCTCCAAGATAGACTATTCCGCCATTGGATACCATATCCCCACCAGTCTGAGATATTGTCTCTACGGGCGTGTTTGTGTGTAGTGCCGAATTACCACCACCGCTGAGTTGTTGACCAAACAACATGCCTGTAGAGTCCGTCGTGCACAAGTCTGTTCCACTACCGCCAGCAGCGCTTCCCACGCCGTCCACACTACCGGAAACCAGATAGCCGGCATGATCTTGCAATCGAGTACGCATGCACCAACCCGGTCCACGTTGCTCAGTCGACTGTCCTGGCGGCAGACCATTACCACTAGTTGTACCTGTTCGACTGCTACTGGCAGTTACACTGCTGGCTGGTGGGACAGTGGGACAGGCACCATAAGGAGGAGGAGTGTAGCAACAGTGATCCCCCAAGGAAGGGTCTATTAGAAGACGGTAAGAACAACGGATGAAAACATGGTTTAGTACGAATGGGAAATTCTATCTATTGCATGTATGCGTCATGGTGCTACAAGGTTGATTGTATGGATAGTATGCTGATGTGCCATTGAGAATTAGAGTTCGGACTTGTCTAGAAAACTTATGGATATTTTTGACAACCATGACTAAACCTGCACTACAAGTAAACTGAAAAAGATGAGCAAGTGAAGACGACAATATCACTGATCGACAGTGGATTCCGCGGGGTAGTTCCTTACTTTGCTTAATTACAAAACTTTGGTTCACACCAAATCGAATAGATCCGCCCAGCACCCTGTCGGTGTCTGACTGCCATTTGATCCGAAAAAATATGAGGGCTGGGATAATGTCAGGTTGCCAAAACCTGGACAGGAGAAATCGAGAGACAGAAGTCGGGTTCGTACCACGGACCCTGCGGTCAGTAAATTCACGCTCTAACTACTGAGCCATCCAAAACACGTTCGTCAGGACTACATATAGGAGTGGAATGTTGCGAATAAACCTGCACTTATACGAAGGAGTCATGACTCTGTTAACTCATAGGGTAAGTCAGAGAGGACCGACATGAGCCGTTGAAAGTGAACGTGTTGGTTAGAGGGATGAATGATGCTCCAACGTGATGAATTCCGTCCACAAGTGATGCAAACGATATAGAGAATCAGTGGATTCGGTAGTGACGTTGGTACAGATAAGAGAAATCGCATCAATGCTCCGACTTCAGCGTCAAAATAAGCATGCACGTGCTTCAGCGGAAAGTCTATGAATGTTGGGTCGCCATACAGCAATTGCCTGGCAGTGAACACCACCCATCAAAAAACCACGGATTCTACACAGAATATTTCCGCTATTGTGCTTCAATGAAATCACCCTCTTCGATCTACAAGAATGTTCTTTTGCTAACAAAACAGGGCTCGTGATTAGGGTCATATGCTTCGGTGACGAAAACTCTTGTTACCGTGGGCCTAAATCGCACGCAACACTACTTTCGATTCCGCGCAAACCATTTGCAGGTGCACTATTTTGTGTAGGGATCCATTAAATCACTTCTTATTGGGAGATCCGAGTTGGATGCGTCATTCATATGTGATTGGGACTCACATTTCCAGGTTATCATCTAGCTTGTGTCAAAGGGTGTTATAGAGCGACAGGCGCCGTATCGAATTTACAGGTCCGGGACCTCGACTGCTGGAGTGACCGGAGTCGACCTCTCTCATTGACAGTCCTTGTTAATAGGAGATAGAATGGCGTAGTATCCGATTGTCCTAACCTATTCATGAAGTGTGGTCTGACGGTTGTAACCAGAGGAAACAACGAATCCTGGAACGAACATAACCAACTATTCGCGAACCCGTTCGAAATCCTTGAGGTGTATCAATTTTTACTGATGACTGAACACAGAAGAGACTGTATGAACCATAGAACATGGACTTCGTTGGAAAATGCTAAAATTTAGCAGAGTAATACCGAAATCCGAAGTACCCACCTCGTCGATATGCAATTGGACTACCCATGGCTCCAGGAATCAATGCAGGCGGAGGACCCGGAGGGGTGCGGTAGGGTGTACAGCCCATTGTAATATTTCCATGGATCGACGAGTATGAGTCACTGCCCGCGACGGACGAGTAGGCGATTGGTCTGTGAAGCTGATGTTGTGGTCCGATAGACATGTCCGCTGCGGACGGAGCACCCGTAGAACGTTCGCCTCCATCAGAATACGGTATTTTTGGACCAACTCGAGTGAGCAGTTCTTGAGGTGGCTTGTCACCCTGAGAAATATTACCCGAACGGAGGTGTCCGGATTGTGTATTGCCACAATGTAAGGATGCAACGCCCGGATGATTGTAAGGTGGCGACAAGTGTCCGTGTTGAGTACCGTTCAGCGGAGACGGGAAGTTTGCCTCACCGGGGTTGATAAAGCGACTCAGCTGACGTGATGTTGCTCCGGATTCGTTGAGACCACTCCGGCTGTGGTAGGTCGTTCCACTCGCGACTGCAAGATCAAACTGTCTTGAGAATGAATTGCCCGTAATCCGCGGGTAGCGACTCACGCGTGTGGGGGAAGACCGACAACACCGATGACAACAGCAAACCACGGCTCCGATCCCAATGGTAAACGTGACAATAGTGCTAACGGCAATGGCGAAGACCGACAACACCGATGACAACAGCAAACCACGGCTCCGATCCCAATGGTAAACGTGACAATAGTGCTAACGGCAATGGCGATGGAGGCTGGGATTCCGAGTGATAGTAGCCCAGAAAGACCACCGACGGCTTGTACATCCTCTTCAATCCATTCAGCATCAGTTAGTCCTAAAATATATTTTGGACAAGACGAGTAGGTCATAGAATGGGTGAATTACCAACACAAGATGCATGAAGTTGGACTAGGTTTTGCCGACTGTTAGCGGGTCAAAAACAACGGCAAAGACATGACTACAATATAGTTCTGTGAAGGGTTGAAATGCTGCACACCACGACACCTCTTGAGAAGCCAGTTGCTCAGAAGAATACGATAAACACAATCAGCACCCTGAAAAAGCTTCACCTAACCCCTCTCAGGAGGTATGCTGCAATGGATTTGGCCACTTAGTTACCCTTGACGATAATGTTTAATTAATCCCAACAACAATGTCGCTGGCATTCACACGTAGAGTAGCATTTATCAGAACATGCCACGCAGTTAGTGTATATATCTATATCGTTCAACTGTATCACCCTTCCGGTGCCTAGCTGCCATGCCGCACGAAGGATGCATGAGGGCTGGGATACTGCCAGGTCGCCCAAGCCTAGACAGGGGAAGTCGAGAGGCAGAGGTCGGGTTCGAACCGCCAGTTGCCACCACAAAAGCCACGCAGTTGCAATACGGACTAGAGGCGATAGCATTGGTAGGCAGGAAAACGTCAAATGTGACACATCGTCCAGCTCCACAACACTGTCCTTAATCTAAAATATAGTTGCAATACCTTCCACTCAGCTATGAACTGTGAACCGAAGCCCAAGAAAGACCGTTCACTTAACTGCCATGTCTTAGTAACACCCCTTTCTGATGACGCCTAGTATCGGGCCTTTTCCTGGTTCTTCTCTACTACCATAATCAATGCTACTCCCTTTCACAGTTTCTGACATCTTCCTGCCAAATTACCACATGTCACCCGCAGAGTGGACTTCTCACTTCTTTGTTCATTCGAACTAGACTTTGTAGGTTCCTAGCATTCTCTATAGTCTCGTCGCTTTATATACCCAACTCGGTGGAAGCTGCATTGGCTGCCTCATAGTTTGTGTTGTTATGCACTCTTGGTTACAGGGCCGTTTATTGTGTAACGAAATCAATTTCATGAGAACTTAAGCTTGTGGTGTTTTTTTTGCTACTGTCTTTTCAGTAACGTATGCGTAACTTTCCAACTGCGCTATAAATGCAATGCAGTAGACACACAGTGAGGTAGAGCTGTTAGGAATATTCTGGAAAGAGCATCAAGAATACATAAACGCTTTGAAGGCTACTGAGTTTTCTTTAAACGATTGTGGAACGTGAGGAGGACGGTTAGAAGCTCCGTAGGAGGGGCATTTTTCGAGTCAACCCAAAAGGCTTCTTTGTGGAACGGGGTATGGTGCATGAATGATCACAGACAAAACTCGTTATGCATTACTTAAAACTGCCAAGTGTCGCCTATTCGGTTGGGGACAGGTTAGTATATATTAACATTTACCGGAAAAACTGGAGCGAGATGGCTCAAGCGGTTAGAGAGCGAATTCACTGACCGAAAGGCTCATGGTTTGAGACCGACCTCTGTCACGCGACTTCCCCCGTCTAGGCTTGGTCAACCCGGCAATATTTCAGCCCTCGTGCTTCTTTCGGGTGGCATGGCAGCTAGGCACCAGAAGGGTGTTACAGCCAAACGATTTTTTTACCGGAGAAACTTTGACATGGCGGTATGCACATTAACCACCAGGGTCCAGCTTACCAAAAAGAATTTCCTGCATCTTGTGTGGTGGGACAAGTGTACAGCTCATCAAAATGGATACCCATATCCGAATTTCCAGGCACTAATTTTCAGACCCAAATTAGGGCAACCGTACGCAAATGAGTGTATTTCGTTAATTTCGTGCTATTTGGTTTCAAGTAGAACATAAGGTTGACGGAAACTCGGCGACTGCGCCTACCTGATGAAGAAGACCAATATGGGCGAAACCGGTCTTGAGCTGTCGACGAATTTTCAGCAACCTTATGAGTAGTGCATTACGAATATCGATGTTATTCTTTGGAGCAACCTGTTATGATGGTTCTCGTTCATCCGCTCCCTCATTTTATCAACAGAAACAAACGACAACGTCGTTCTCTATCCGGCCCTACATTCAAGCAGAAAAACGGCCACATAGAATATGCTATTTTAAAATGAATCACATGTAAACCAGTGACCAGCTTACAATGAGAAACCGTGTGTGGTCAAAACAACATTGGGAAACAAACAATGCGCTTTGCTTTGTTTCATTGGTTGCTGTTATCTGAATCGCGAGCTTACTCTCACCCGTTTGGTGTGTGTTCGTCTAGCTGAGAAAAAGAGCAGCTGTGAAGCATGGGTGCGGGACGTAAAACGAAGGACATTGAAACCAACATGAAAGCATCAAACGCTACAAGTGATGGGGTTTTGTCTGAGCGTTTAGTTTAACTGTACTCAAGCGGCAGACCTAAAAAGCCGAACATGAAGTTCACCGTCCATTCAAAGCCGAGACATCCAATAGGCACTCAATGGTATTTTGATTACTGACCTTAGCTACTGTACTGGTCCAGTCGCCTATGCCTTGGGATCGAACAGTTTGCAGAGGCATACCGCTAACCAACTATCGAGCACTGGTATGTACAGGGAGAGTGCACACTCGTACAAGGGTTACGAGTGGACGTTTAGTAATTTGCTTTGCTTGGCGTCTTCGATGAGGGTCGACAGAGACTTCGCTGAGCCACGCAACATACACCTCGAAATTAGGGTTTTTGAGAAATAAGGCGGGTATCGCATGTCCCGAAAGGTCATTCACAGGCTAGTATACGCTCTTTTTGCCGCCAAACTCCACTGTTCCACACAAACCCCAAATCAATAGTGTGAAGCACTATGAAGCGAAGACACTACATTGATTGTTATTCTGGTCAACGACACGAACTGTGTCACAGTACACTGGAAAGCCGCTTAGCTCCGCTGTTGAACCCAGCTGGGGAGCCTTGACTAACCTAGACAACATCCGTCACTTAAAACGTTTATCCTAGGTCCTCAGACTGATCGTTAGTAGTAGCCCAGATGACTATAAAATTATGTCCACTTGGATATCCCCCCTTTTTTTTAAATTTTCTGCTCCCAACAGGATACTGCCTCATCATACCGATTGATTTGTCTTTATCACTATCGATCTTAAGCCGATTAGTGCTATCTTAATAGACAATCCATCCGTATGCCAATAACGCCAATCCATTTTCTGAACGCAGTAGCAATGGACTATTTACGTAGTTTTCGACAAAGCCATACATTCGGAAAGCCGGCCCACCAATGTGCCAGGAATGAGTTGATACATCTCTGTGAAAGCCGCTAACTTTGATTATCACACCGTAAAAGTTGTGTACGATCAGCTTATCAAAAGGCCGATACACTCATCGTTGTGTTCACATCCTATGCTGGTCAACCGATGGCACTTATGCTACGTTTGTTAGAACTCCAATATAATGGCTGGCTACGCTAGTAAAACTGGTACGGGCGATTTCGAAAGCGAAATCAGGTGAGGCACGGAAAAACCACTGAAAATTATATTCTTCAAAGCTGTCAATCAGCGCGAGCCGATCACTCAGTGCACAGCGAAGCGGGAAAAGTGGAGTGCACCTTCGGCAAAAACGAATGCATGAAGTTACTCAGTTCCGCCTAATGTTAAGGCGACCAAAGGAGCACTTGTGGTAGCGGATTAGACCAAATAGGAAGGCGGTGACGTGTTCTGAGTAAAAAATCACTTCACGAAATCAGTCAACTGTGAACAGCGGTCAACTGACACTGCACAAAGGTAAAAAACACCCAGGGAAGCCGAAAGATTGGAATTCCATCAACGGATTAGTGTGCATACATGTGTAATTTTGAAAAGCAGGTGTAAATCCGCTGTCATGGAACCGAAAATCTTAGGACTTAGACTGATGAGAATTGACAGGAAATCACAGCGGGTAAGGCCAACTAATTAAAATCCATGGCTAACGAGAGTCCAATTAATGACAAGACGAATGCCCTCAATGCTGCTATCACTCCACGATACCTAGTTCGACTGTATTGTATGGAAATAGAGATGAGTGGAGTAGCTCCACCAAACAAACAGAGACCTAACGGGGAAAGTGCTTGCAGAGAACCTAGAAACAGATAATATGGGGCACCTCAACAACGCAGTAACCCACAGATATGAAACGATTGCTGATTACCAACCAAGGTACCCATATAATTCGATCGTAATTAGGTTGGAGACTACCATGTCTCAAGCACAAATTTCCAAGCAAAACTATAGGAAACTTGCAGCGAAAAGTGGGAACGTGATTCTGAATATTCAACTGATTTGGGCATAGTGATCCGAGGAACGGAATCCAGTTGGTAGATTCGGCGCACCTGTTTTGCTACCGGTTTTATATTCGGTCGTAAGATGAATAATAAAATAATGGACTGCTCAGTTTGGCGAGCAAATATCAAGTATTTCTATCAACAGTGTGATCCCTCCTTTAACGGATGAGTTGGACATGACGTTCTTTTGAATAAGGGATAGTGAGTAACTTCACTAACTGACATTCCCGAGGTGTTCATCCATTAGGATACCATCGAGCCGGGTGTACCAACTCAGTCTTTGCTTGGCTTGGTACCTGAGTACGTACGTGCAAAAGGGGATATTCAGACTCCGGGCAACCGTTCAGCTGCACGTTGCCTCAGGAAACTCCAGAAACCATATCTCTACTTGGCTCGTGGACTGTTTTCAAAAACTCATTGATATAAACATTCAGTGGAATCTCCCTCACATGTAGATTGCACGTTACAAAGGCACTCTGTGGGATCAACCAGTCGTTAATCAATGAATACATCGAGGTTTCTTTTCGGTCATCAGCGATAATTCACATAACATAGGTGTTGGATGGTATTGCGGAAAATGTGGGGAAACCGGGGTAGATTTGTTAGGAAACTGTCCAGTGAAGAGTTCTCATATTCAATTGTAACCCAACTATTTGGTTGTCTGGTGAGGAAACCCGAGTAGGACCTATCGATTTTCATTCAACATGCGGTACCCGACGGCAAGCAACGGGAAAAACTCTTAGAGGATGTTGTTTGTTAGGAAATCACTCTATCGTACTGAATGCATGAGTCCTGTTTGACGATTGAGATCAGTGAACTACCATTGAAACTCGCATAGCTATCTAGTTGCCTTTGTTATCCGAATGCAATAAGGGAGAGATCCCTCGGGAAAAGTCACTTTCTTGAAGAGTTCACAGCGAATTTCCCGTATAGAACCGTTCCAAGGTAAGGTAAGGTCCCCTGTGCTATCCTCTCAAAGGGCTGCTTACTGCACAAGGGGAACAGAGAAAATTTGTTTTGATGATCGCATTCACGATAGCGAAACAAGACATTTCAAGGAAACCCGATTCGCAGACACCACATCACCTACTACCAGGTGTTTTATTTGTCTACTATGATCGTCACCTGAAAAAAGGCTGGATTTAAGGAGAAACTAATCATGCTGCTAAACGGTAATTAGTGACATTCTCAGCACAACTAAGTATTGCGATTGTAGACTGCCGTATAGTTTTATAGCCGTGAACCATGTATGAATGAACAATATTCCAATTTACCGGAGATCGTGGCGTGTGACTTTTCGCCATTCCAACCATAACAACACCAGACGAAGGCAAGTCACTCAAATCAAGCCGCATTACTCATTGGCCAATCGGTCAGCTGTGCCAGTTCGTGTGTGTGAAGGAATGCTTGCGCGGTAACACAAGTTCAGACGCGCATGTACACGGCGTGTGAGGCATTCGGAGTTTGGCGGCATCATTAGACAGTGATGAGAAAAATAAACATGAGGACAGATGTGCACTGTGGACGAGTCTCGACAAGGGTGGAACCGTTGCAGTGTGCTTCTCGGTTTTACAGCATAGACGTAGTACAGTCTCACTTATCGACAAGTGGGAAGAATGTCAACCAGAAGATCCGCCTCATAAAATAATCACGGCATAGCACTGGGTGAGAAAGCGCTCAGCTGAACACCCTTTCATAGCACTGGGTGAGAAAGCGCTCAGCTGTAACACCCTTTCGGTGCCTAGCTGCGATACGACCCGAAGGAAGCACGAGGGATCAGGCGTTTTCAGGTTCACCTGGTCTAAGCAGGAGCAGTCGAGATGCCAGGGTTGGGATCAAACCGAGACCGCCTGATCAGTAAGTTCGCGTCTTGATAACTGAGTAACAGCAATTTCGACCGGTCATGTCAGCGGATTCTGTTCTATTTAGCGACACCTCCGCATTGTGACGGGATCTAAAGTACAACCGGTCTAAAGTGGAAGCAGCTGGTTCCGCTGACCACAGCAACAAGGGCTAAGAACGAGAGTAAAGCACAGGCGTCTACACCAGAGGAAACTCAAAAACTTACCCCGTCGATGACAGTGTTCGGGAGTTTCGTCTCGACCGTCAGCACAGTTAGAGACACCATCACAGACGGTTCGAAGAGAAATGCAGTAACCTAGACCGGGTTGTTGCCGTTGTGCACCGACAGTCTGTTCCGCCGATAGCCCGGAGCTGACTTCCGATCCACGTTGTTTAGAGGATGAACTTCCTAGAAGAGCACTGTATGGGCGTCGGTCCGTGAAAAGAGTGGAACCAGTATCCATGGTACTTCGAACGAGACTAGGGCGATTACCACAATAGAAGCTTCCTGACGAACAGCTCTGAGTTGTTGCTGAATGGTAATGAGTGAAACATGATTCAGATCGAGAACGCTTAGTGTCTAAGCATGAAAAAGATTCCGTAACCTCATACAACAACTTCACCTTACCGGCAAAGTTAACTGATTAGCTGCCAAAAGCCATTCACCGTACGACAGTAATTGGCACGAGAAAAATGATTACCCTAGCTTATACCACACTCTTTGTGCTTGATAGCTCGGGGCGAGATGGACCATGTGGTTAGAGCGCGAATTTACTGACCGGAAGGTCCGTAGTTCGAACACGACTTCTGCCACTCGGCTTCCCTGTCTAGGCTTGGGCAACCTGGCAGTATCCCAGCCCTCGTGTCTCCGTGTGGCATGGTAGCTAGGCACCGAAAGGGTGCTACAACTGAATCGTTTTTTTTTGAGGTGTTCAAAACCTTGCCTAAACTGAGGTCTCTGGTTTGTTCGATTCCAAGGCGCAGTCGGTCAGTCAGAGTTGGTTAGCGTATTCAAGCATGGATATCCGACCTATTCTTACCAAGCCTTTGTAGTATTTGAACCGGCGTTAATTGTCATTGTTGCATACGATACTCATGAAATTGCCAGTCTATCTGCTTGGTTTTCTGTGTAAGGCGCTTGTATATAACAATGAAACACTCCGCTTGTAAATAAGGTTGTGAAGTGAAGTGTAAAGGTCGCAAGCGCATGGTAGCTCACTTCGGCCGGACTTTGATGACACCGATGACTTCGTCCGACACCGGTAGACCCGGCATCGGACGAAACGGGTGGGTCTAAAGCATTTCTATCGGCCTCATAGTCGGCTAGAGTGAAAATTCGTCAGGATGTGATATCCCCGTGCAAGCGTCACCATTATCTACAGTCGTTCTGCTGGAGCAGAATCTCAAGGAAACGATCCAGACCTAGGAGCTCGAGACCTGAGTAATCGGTGACATGGCAAGATCCACTGAAACGGACCACATCGAACGCTATGGAGCACTTCAGCTGATGGTTACTTTCAGGTTTTCACAGAAGACACTAGAAACTATGAATTTTAAGGGCGTAAGTGGTGGTCTTTAAAACCAGACTCGCTCCAAAACAACTAGGACGGAAACTGGTGTACGACTGATACACATGCTGTCGATTTCGAGTCGACCAAGAAAAATTCATCTTGAATGTGGCTTTTATGGCCCTCGAATGCCCTGTTCTTTCGGGTATGAGCGCAAAATTCAGCTCTGCAGTATTCTTGCTCGTGGCGTTGCCGGTTGTGTTTGGTACATTTGTGGCTTTGGTAGAGTCGAGGCACAACCAAAAGGATGTGGGCGGTATTTTTTAAAAGTCCCTCGTTAGTTCGGTGGTCTTTTGGAGGTGACATTGTTCACTTTGTCAGGGTGATCAGTCAATTTGGCATCAAGCTTAGAATGAGTAGAACACCGAAATTCCACTGAAATGGGTATCTGTATCCAAGTATGTACATTCAATGAACCTAAGCCACAGTTAGGTATTTCATGGGTTCTAAAACCGTTCAGCTGTAACACCCTTTCGGTGCCTAGCTGCCCTGACACCCGAAGGAAGTAGGAGGGCTGGGATACTGCCAGGTTGCCCATGGAAGTTGAGAGGCAGAGGTCGGGTTCGAACCACGGAACTTCCGGTCACTAAATTCGCGCTCTAACTTCTGAGACATCTCACCCCCTTGGTCAAAGCTTGTAAGTGTACGAGGTTCCTTCACACATCCAAACGTATGGTCTGATTGATACAATACTCTAGCGGCAAACCGAAATATGAAACGAGTTTTAACTCGGGTAACTCTCTACAAATTGAGAGCGCAAATTCTTTGGGTCGTAATATTGAGTAGGGTAGTGAAAACTTAGGGGCTCATCCAGAAAGCGGTATCTAATTAAGGACTCGATATTCGTATTAGTTCACGTTATTAAACGATCAAACATAACGCAAGACTTGCTTTCTGTCAGGTCAAGGAACCTGACAGCAAGGAACCCCAAACTACTAATCCCGAAAAAAGGTGAAAAGTGGGTGGTTCAGAAACCATCAGCTAGGAGAAATAAAACAGTCTAGGTAGGCTCAATCGCCGCATGGTTTAGCTTACAGGACAGCCGAGAAGGTCTCACAACAAAAAGCGCAAACGAAGGTGCTGCACTTACTTTCCTGGATTGCAGTGAGGATCAGACGAAAGCCGGGGTGCTGATTTGAGGTTGTCGGGGGACGAATCCCAGACGTGCTGTAAAACAACCAATGAACTCGTGACAGATTTACAGATTTACAACCACGTAAACATGCCGTGCTAACGGTTGTGGTTGTGAATTTCAAAGATTAAGTATATGGATTACACGTGATTGAGGCGGGGATTTAGCCAAAATGCGAAGACTCGATTTACATATTCGTTCAGATGACAATACACGGAGAGAGGCTATTGAAGGACTAGAAGTAAACGGGAACAAAAGTGCGATTATCGAAATTAGCAGATGCGCAGCTGTGAGATACTCCAAAAGTTAAATTCCCTTTAAATAGTCCCCTTCAACCATGTGCCGTGTGAAACTTTGCCAAAAGTGAGCGAGTTGTGACCTGGTACCAAAGTTTTATCTTGAGGCGTGCTAGCAACCTGGGGAGCATCTTCTCCTTTCTGTTTTTATTCCAATCCAAACATAGGTCTCGATAGATTGAGACACGAAAGTAACCTCTTTCGTGTATAGCTTTCCCCCCTCCGAATCTGTTCAGCTTCGATAAATAACGAAATAATCCGCAGCAGTGTACCGCTGTCAGAAAATGTGTGACTGACGAGCTGAACTGAACGCACGACTATAAAAATAAATATAAATAAATGATCCAGCTGTGGCACCTTTCGGTGCCCTAGCTGCCATGCCACACGAAGGAGGCACGAGAGCTGGGATAGTGCCAGGTTGCCCAAGCCTAGACAGGGAAGTCGAGAGCCAGAGGTCGGGTTCGAACCACGGACCTTCAGGTCAGTAAATTCGTGCTGTAATTACTTGGTCCATCTCGCCCCCGAACGCACTATATATATATATATATATATATGGAATACTTTCTTAGCGTCGCCGATACCACAGGATTCCTAGGTGGGGCTCAAAAGATTGGATTCGTACTATAAAATCAATTGCCTGTCTCATTTAGTCCAACAAGGACACGTCGTTGCTTTGGGAAATTCAATTCCATTGTGTGAATACGGAGTCCCATCACCATGTGAGCTGAATGCAACCGTTTAAATTTGCTTCAGTTGATGAAAAAGTACATTCCTCACTCGATGTCTGTGATGCGTGGGAATGCTTACATCTCGCCCGACTGGCAGCTTATAACTATGAGTCACGTGACCGTGAAAACGAGATTTCGTTGAGGAAAAGTGCATTCTCCACCCAGTGCTTATAAGGCGTGTGGAGTTCAACCATCACAGCACTGACTAGATGAATGCGCTGTGTAGGGCTTCAGCACATTGCTTCAGTTGGAGATCAGCTCCGATAACACGCACGAGTTATTCGAACAGTCATCGACGTTCACTAAATTACCTACTGGAATACTAGTTAATGCGGATGAGACAGCAAATACAGATTCGATGTTTTTCTGTCGAAGATGCAGTGCAAGGACTTCTTGGGGTTCGGTTGAACCGGTTTCAGGCATACGACCGGTGGTAAGTGATATTGTTGAAGATGTAGGGGATCCGATTTTCTGAAGCAAACACGCTGGTAGTTTGGTCGATGACGAGCTATGACCGGTTATCGTGCACCGTCATGAGTAATATTCAATTCTCCGGGGAAAAAGAGAACCCACTTGAAAAGGACGGTATGAGTTGCGTTTCTCGAATTTGCACTCCTCCCCCCCTCCGGAAAAAAGCCCTAGCAGTTCACAAGCAAGCTATTCTGAGGGGTACCGATGTTGGGTAGCTAATGTCATGCTGAATGCGCAGACAGTAGCGCTTAGGTGGACCCCCGATAAGCACTATACCTTTGACTTCCGCGTTTTCTCGAATTCCAAAAGAATGGCTATATCAGAGATGTGGTCAAAATGGAACATTTCACTGCTTCTGTCAATACAAGTCCGTTGCCACTAGCCAAAAAAGGAAAGCAATTACCCGTCAACATGATGTATCGGAGCGTGATTACGAGCAAAGCCCACCATAGAAATCTGAGCTAGTACGTTCATCAAGTTCGATTTTTGAAATATCAGGAAGCGGTTCACAGCGCACTTGTCTAATTTTCCAGCCAGAAAGGGGCATTGACATTTACCAGCAAAATGACAATGGCGAATGTGGACGTTAATGCATTGGTCGTTCTCAGATCAAAAGCGCCCACAACGCGTCGCCGCGCGCGACAGAAACTTCACGAGGCAACCCGAAGGGTAAAGGCAAACGGTGGTCAAACCGGGAAGGCAATGAATCACGGTAAGTATCCCGTGGAGTTTGCACGTTTGATTGACCAGGCGGAAAGAACGGTCATTGTTTTTGTGTGCGTGTGTGCGTGGTCGCCCCGACGCACATACATAACTTGAACGTCGCGGTAGGAAACTTCATCCTCATTCCGTTATCTCGCTGTCGCTAATGATCATCGCCCGGGATGCGTGAACACGTGGATTAACGCGATGCAGTGTGCAGGTAGTGTAGAGTCGAGGCGACAACCAACACCACCACGCATACGAACGGTATAGAGAGAGGAAAACAAAATCCACAACTGAATAGATCAATGGGGAAGTCGGCGAAGGGACATGTGGAAGAGCCAAAGCGTCTCACCCAAGCAGCGCACACACCGGCATCGATCATTCCAGCCACTATGGTTCATGCGTCTGTGTGTTACAGCGTGATCAAATGACAAGCGGTTGTGGTGGCGCGTCGTTGGGAGAAGCAAAGATGAATATACCGGGATAAGTAGCGAAACATCTTATGTGAGGGTATCATCAAAATGACGGGCGCAACGCACGTGTTCGTCTGATCGGGAATATTTGTCGATGGGATGTCAGATAAAGCAGTAAAAATCGCAGAAATGCCACTTGGCGAGCGGCTCTGTTAATGTGCGTTGGAACAGTGATGGCGATTAATTACTGAAATCAGGTTGGTAACCGGAGAACTCACGGGGCTAATTCATCAATTTGTTGGGTGCCTTCCTATGTACCGGGTTATCAAATATCCATTACGAGTGACCCAGAGTTAGAATACAGTTTCGCCAAAAGCGGAGTGTCAGAGCAGTGAAGATGTTGCGAGATGTACAAGAAATGAATCAGTACCGTATGTGAATTTCAGATACTAACTAGTCCACGTTAATCCGTAGAACACAGAACGCACCAGAGTTGTAGCGGTGTGCTTGCGACGGCGCCTCAGGAGCGCGAGAAGAATGTTTAGACAGCGACAACAGGTGTGCTTTCACTGAATTAACACAACGGGTGTCCATTACATTTAATCAAGGCGATGAAGATAATTGAGAGAAAAAAGCGTTCTCTTACGGTTCCGAAAATAAAGTTAGAATCTGTCGAGAATTACAGGCGTTCCCAGCGTCATCTGAAGCACCGCTAAGAATACTCGTCACGCAGTATCCGTTGTCCTTCTGTACAGAACCAAATGCTACTTTTCATAAACGAATTTAGATGAGTCTTGCTGTCATAATATCTTCCTATGTATTTGATTATTTTAATCCAACTGCGCAGTAAGTAGGCGAAACGAATCGAATGAGGGCTGTCTATTAGAATTTCTGAACAAACGCCCAATATTATGTACCACGTGGAATTCAACTGGTAACAAGAGCGAACGCATGTCGTCAAATGTAGTCCGTGGACAGAAACATCGAAATAACTCAGTCCTATCAGCTAAATCGCCATTTATTGCAACTTACTGAATTTGCAATCATTCGAAGTACTTGGTGAAATTTGCGTAAGCAATCGGACGCCGTGACAAGTGTAGCTCTACTTTGGTACTTTTTACTGTTCCAATGTAACAGATTCATTTCTACATAGGCTTGGCTTTGATTATCTGCCCTCCAATGTATAATCAGTTACTCAACTGTTATGTGGCCAGAAGACTTGTCATGTGCCTTGCTTGTCTAGTCCTGAACGTCAATGTACATGGGCGACCGAACAAGCATGCATGAACTATAGCAATAATAATAATCGTTCAGCTGTAGCACCTTTTGGGTGCCTAGCTGCCCTGCCACACGAAGAAGACACGAGGTCTGGGATATGCCAGGTTGCCCAAGCCTAGACAGGGGAAGTCGAGAGCCAGAGGTCGGGTTCGAACCACGGACCTTCCGGTCAGTAAATTCGCGCTCTAATCACTTGGGCTAACTTGGGACTACCGCCATTCCCACTAAGCACCGCTTGTTCTTGCTCCACTGAGATTCTTGAAAGGAACTAGGTGCATGGCGATTATAATGATGTCACTGCCTAGCCTATGCCCCTTTATTTCCATTTTTTTCTGGATAATTTCCGAAGTCTTCTTTGGGCGGAAGTCGAACTACCGCCAAAACGTACCTGGTATAGGCTGGCGTCAGTAAACTCGTGACTGTGATTGGGAGACATGTGGTAAGTACTCTGGCCGAGGAAGACATACAACTCCAGCAACTGCGGTAGCCACGTACACTGAACACGTATCTGCTAAGAAATATGCTGTTCTGCATTGTGGGGCAGCGAACCATCAGTGTTGAACACTGACGTCATGGCGCCGACCATGATGATGATGACAATGGTTCTGAATTCCTCATTCAAAATGCTGGTAATTGTGAGGCGGACAGGGTTGTAAGGTCACAAGAAGTTCCGGTGCTAATGCTATCAGTCCAACCGCCCTAGGATTGGCTGGAGAGGTTGCGAGATATGGCCGCCGACCCAACTCAGTGGAATTGCTACCCAGATTTTCTCAGTAAGCTTCTGAAGGTGCACAAACTAGGGCTAGCGTTAGGACGGTCAGGTTCTAACGAACAATTCTACCCCCTGTAATATTCCACTGAGATTTCATTTTCTCTCTTTTGTAGCCAACTGAACCGCAGCGCTCTTTTTTCCATTGGTTCATCTGCAATATAGGCGATCTTCATCTGATGTCTTCTTCCTTGAGGTTTTCCCACTCAAGTAACTAGACTATCAACGTGACAGAATAAACTTCATCAAGCTCCTAAACCACTCAGCTAACACTCACGATACAACAGCTAGCATCAAGCTTCTCGAGATGCTCTCACAGGACCTGCTCCTGGGAAATGAATCCTATTGGCAACCTTGCCGTGGGTTTTCGCTAGAGCGGAGGACGTCAGTGAGCTTGGCACACATCCGTCAATTGGGTCGTTTTTAAAACGTGTTGAGAAAAACCGTAGCTACAGTCTGACACATCTTGTGAAAATTCGACATTTTATGAAATGGAATTCGCGAAATGCATGTTAGTGATGAGTTCCAAAGAGGATGAGACAGTTATACACTGCTTCTTAGCTCTCAGTACATGAGTGATAAGATGGCAACTGAAACAAATTTTAGCTTGGCGTTCCAGTTAGGGGTGATGGCTTGCTTTCCAGTGTGATGGGCAACGTGCTACGTCCTGTGGGATATTCATGTTAGCCACAGTCTCGACGGTGAGAAGATTCCACAACACTCGGATTGACTGCGGCTGCATTTACTTCCCGTTACGATGTAATAGCATGCCCACCTCCCCTCCCGATATCTCATCTACTTAGAGTTTGAAATAAAAATCGCTTCCCTAAGTAGCTGGTAGTTAGACATGCGATGTACTTATGTGCCCCATTGACTACTCTGAAGATTCTGTCTGTGCACTAGTTCATTGCGGAAACGCTGCAGCTAGTTCGTTTCAGTTGTACTGTGAAGACATCACAGAACAAGCGCTTCAACAGCAAATGCAAGTAAGGAGCCTTCCGAGTCAAGATGAACGTCTGCTCTGCCAATGTGAGGATACAGTTCATAGAGAGGTGGACGTGGGTTGTATTGTGAAATCCCGGCAGTCTGACCTTGGAACAGTTTAAACCAGAAAAGGGGAAACGATTCGCGAGTATAAGCCACATTTAATACGACCCTTAGGCGAGCATTATTGTTTTTGTCACCAGCCGATATCGATTTTAAATTACGACACGCATGTATTGTGTAAACATCAATGGAGACTTCGATAGGTGTTTCACGAAAACAGATCGAGAACAGCAAGAAACCTCGAATGACGTTGAAAGACATATGTGGGTGGCTATATTTTGTTCAAAAACGCAATAATTCTCGAATGAGATCAGCGTTACGGTGGGACCTTTTGAGGTCCGGTGATCGATTTACAGATCCAGGGAATCCTAAAGAACACAAGACCTATGCAATCTAAGCCTTCAAGGAAACATGATGAACATGCTCGCTACCACCGACTCGTATCCACCAACATCTAATGTCACCAGCATACCCATTATGCTTCAGGACACTAACCAGTTCTTATCAAGCTGGCTCGCTCGACAGTTTAGTTACATGGGTGACACTGTTTAGTGGGGAATGCCAAAACGCCAAAAACACCAAACTCATCGAGATTCCGGTCACTTGGACCTGCTAGGGTATTGTAGGACGCTTTCAAGTATTGTCGTCTTAGACATGACACACTACTCATAAGGTTGCTGAAAGCTCTTCGACAGCCCACCACCGGTTTTACCCTTCTTGGGGCTCATTAGGTAGGCGCGGCCCCCGAGGTTCCGTCAACCGTACGTTCTACTTGAATCCAAATTGCTTACAAACATCCTAGAGGAGACAATGAGCTGCGATCCAGGTGAGCCTCCCGTCAAAACCAAATTGGTACGCAGATGATTGTATTTCGCTATTTTAGTCTTAATTTAATAATTCCATCAAATATGGGACAAATTGTACACTCCAAGATACATGATGTCACATTCAGTTTTCCGATACATGTGAATCATCCTTGGGCTGTGAAGCGTCTCCAATGCCTCTGTAAACTTTGCCAGGTATATAGAGCACTACTGAATGCGAAAAAATTCGTTGAAACTAATTCTTGAAAGTTTATTATCGCTATCCGACCATTGGTGTCAGTGATTCTTATGGCTAGAATCAGCACAGAGACACCAACACAGTTCATCCCACGGATTAGGAGCGAGATGGCCCAAGTGTTTAGGGCGCGAATTTACTGACCGGAAGGTCCGTGGTTCGAATCCGATCTCCACCACTCGACTTCCCCTGTCTAGGCTTGGGCAACCTGGCAGTATCCCAGCCCCCGTGCCTCCTTCGGGTGGCATGGCAGCTAGGCACCGGAAGGATGTTACAGCTGAACGCTTCTATCCTACGGATTGTGTTTTTCTGACTTACGAGCATCATGCCAGCAGTAGGTTAATCCACCCCAGCTGAACTTTTGACATCAGTTTGTATCACATTTTACTATCCATAATCTCAGTTGATCTAACCACCTCATCCTACCATACAGTTAAACTAGCGCATTTGTGCTAATAGCCTATACCTCAAGTCCGGAAAAGAATGCAGCGGTTGTGTAACCCGTCAAGCGGATTTCAAGAATCAGTGTCGACAGCCGTGAGCCAGAACGCGTGTTTTCCCTCAGTAGGATGCGCCACGTAGATCGCCATCTCACTTGAGTAACTTGATTCCCATAGCACGTGTTCTGAACGAAACTCTGAAGACAATCAACCTTCTGAGCTGACCAAATTTTAGTATTCTGTTGATCCTCGTTAACAATCACAAACCAATGAATCGATCAATTCGGTTACCGGACTGTCTAATGGTTTACCCACACCAAGATGAGCATAACGCCCATTCCCGTCCAGACGCCAAGACCATCTTTTGGTCAATCGCTGAGAACCAATAACTATGCGAGCTAGTTTTTTTTAGAGTTTTAACCCCAGTAAATAATCCGATATTGCACGTAGGGTGCCCCCAAAATAGCCTTATTTGCATTTCGAACCACAAAGAAACGTAATGTTCGTGGTTTTGGTCTTTGTTCAGAAAATTGCGCTCTGAATTGAAGGACTTCAAGTTAAAACAGAGCGACTTTGGCAGAATATTCCCCTGTGTGTCTTTCCTTCGATATAGTTACCTCTGTTTACAATTCCTCTTCCTCATCATCATCACCATCGACAGCATGACATTAGTGTTCAATACCGATGCTTCGCTGCCGTACAACCATGACTTATTTGAAAGCCTTATTGTAAAGAAAAGAATAAAGGTGGACGGGGAAGGGACTTAGTGCTAGCTTAACACAATCATTCCGAGGTGCCTACACCTCGTCTGGATAGAAACCGACAACAAGAACGCCACTGACATCGGTTGGCAGCCATATCTTGTAGTGTCTCCAGCCGGGCGCAGTGAGGACCACGCGGTCCCCATCCTGGAAGGCGAGTAGCACCGACACCACCCAAGCGTTTCGTGAGTTCCTTCATACTCTGCCAAGTCAAGGATTGGCCACCTCTCTGTTTACGCCACTCTGAGTTGGGCATGGAAAACAATTCCTATTGAAATCTGGTAAAGAGCATCAAAATTATTTAACCCTAATGGCTCCAGTTACGAATACCGTAGTCAATTCTGTGGTGATCTCGTATCGCCTTCGTTACGGGTGTAGGTGGAGCACCAACCCCGAGTGAAATGAAAAATTACACCATACTCTAATAAAAGTCACTGGAAGACGATAGAGTTCTCCTTGGTCAGGTGTGGGTGACGTGGAAGATCGTTGCTTTTAGCATTCATCCAAAGACGCCGCAGCCCGGTTCATGTAATATTTCGTCACTCATGGGACGAAATAGTGGAACAGGGTGGTTACCAATGAGTGGAGTGTAATGCACCACGAATGTGAAGGATTGCATTTTATAAATAACTAAGGCTGTGAGCAGAACTTACTGGAATGCTATACAAATGTAGGGGTTCGTCGTAAAAATCGGGAAACGTGGATAGGTGGCTCCACAAAGACCACGTTCGCCTCCGGCTTCCGGCTGAAATAGTGGGAACGTACGGAAAACGCTTAAGAAGGATCCACTGTATTAGATCAAATGACTAGCAGTGAGCAATAAGAGGATAATCATATGATCGTTATTTAGATAGATGAGACTCATTCAAAATGTGCCGCATCTCAAAAACAAATAAATAAATAAATAAGAATAAATAGGATGACAGGTGAGTGCAGATATTCATCCCTACTCCTCATCAGGTAGCCGCCTACCTGATGAGCCCCAAGAAGGGCGAAACTGGTCGTGGGGTTTTCATCAACCTTATGAGTAGTGTATACAATCTATTGCGATATCTCGAATATTGTACAAACTGAAACATGAGGCGACCTGGTGCAACAGCACATTCAGTTGAGTAAGGATATCATAAAAGAGGGATTCAGCTGGGTTTTAGGTGAGTCTCCCGGCAAAATCAAATTGGTACGTAGATGAGTGTGTATAAGCCGAACAATAACAAGCGTCCAGTTGTAACACCCTCGTGGTGCACAGCCGCCATGCCACCGGAAAGAAGTACGACGGATGAGGTACTGCCAGGTTGCTCAAGCTTGGTTGAAATTGGGTTCGACATGCCACCGGAAAGAAGTACGACGGATGAGGTACTGCCAGGTTGCTCAAGCCTAGATGAAATTTGGGTTCGAACCTGCAAATTCGCGTCTTAACCACTGAGGTATCTCGAGCTGGGACTGACTTCGGCCACATAAGACAATGTTGCTCGCAGTCTATTAGTATTTATCTAGATGTATTTTCGATATCGATGACAAAACTAAACAAGAAGGGAGAGGGAAGGCGGCCTTGTCGGGCTCTACTGGGTGTAGAACTTCTAGACGGTTCGTCGTAAGCTTTCGCACAACCAGAAGTGTGGGAATAGGGAGTACAACGTATGTCTACGAACTTCCAGAGTGCTCCTCTTTGGCTAAGTATACGTAAAAGAACTACGAAAGAAAAGACTTTCTTGAAGTTAGACCAGTCGCAATTTTCGGCCTGCGGTATAAGGCTGCTCAATCATTTGATGCTTTTATATCTGTTTCTCAGGTGAGGGGATTAGGCGTCGCAGTAGTATTGAACCAGGAGCCACGTTATAATAGGTATCAGGCTGACACCTGTTTGATTTGATGGGCAACTGACCCTAGCTGTCTGGTAGGCGTTCTCGATTCCAATCTAATTACGGTAGAACACAGAAATGTACATCTGCACTTCATCTGGCCCGGAAGTACATTCGTATTTCATCAACTCCGAAACCAGTGTTCGGGCTGAGCGGGCCAAGTAAAAGGACGTAGATATAGAATCTGATAACCAACCAAACTGGTGTTTAAAGTATCCTGTCCAATGATCAAGACAGTGTCTTGCTAACTGTCAGATTTCCAATGCTATCTTTGGTTAGCTTATTAACCGATTTCCAGGATCTTGTACGGGATCAGCTGGAATAGTTTGCGTATATTCCCTGCTGCACTGATCTCCTTCATTCTTTCAGCTTAGCTGTTCCACCACGCCTCCGTGTTAGCTTTGTTCGGACTGACGCCCAGCTATTAAGACTACGTCTGAACTCCTCGTGGTGCACAAGAGGGTGGTTAATTCTCGGACGAACGGCACACAGGTGACTGTTAGCCAGTAGTCAAGTAAGCAAGGAATCTTCAGCTCGGGAGATCAGAACTACAACAAAACCGGTGCAACCAGCTGCGACAGCTGAAGAATCACATGAGTTTCGCGGTCGTCTACACAGTGAAGAATTTGCAAGCTCGATTGTTGTACTCAGATGTTGTGTTCGGGTTTTATAAATGTAGCAAATGTCTATCGATAAGATATCAAGAGTGTGTAGGGGAGAAAAATGATGAAAAAGACTCTGCGGAGGCACACGGGCGTCTCCCTATATACCTCCGAAGGTTGTTGGGGACAGACAAACCGTTTTAACATAAGATTCGGCGAAACCGGTCGTGGGCTGTCGAAGAGTTTTCAGCAACCTTGTGAGCAGTTTTCTTTATGAAAACAAGATTCAGTCTCTTCGTGAAGGGAAGGCCGGACAACCACTAGCTGATTACCCTTGAGGAACGATCGAATATAATGGTGAGGTACATTCGAATCGTGGTAAACAATGTGGAACGAAGCAAGGGGAATCGGTTATGCCAAAAAAAAATGCAACACAACTACGAATTATGGTTTGCTGAAAATCTGCAAAGCGGACGTCCTACAGTGGATGGCTTAGGTTCTCTGGCTCATGAGTTACCGAGAATCTTAGTGGGAATTCGTTAACCGCTTATGGAAAAATTAAGCACATGAATTCGAGACTAATGCAACTTTACCGACAAGTTTGCAGGATTCTTCTCTGAGATGGACGCATTTTGTTAGTTTTGATTTCAGCCCTAGGTATGACAACAGAAGCGATTTAGATGTAAGGTAGAAAGTTCAATCCGAACTGAAACTCAGGCTACCCTTATCTCTCAATCTCATTTGTAGCAAAACTCACCTACACAGACCACCTCTAGATCATTGATGTACCGACTGCTCATCCACAGCAATTGAAAAAAATGTTAGACAACACCAGCGGTTTAGGTTCACATGAACTATCAGTGATAATCAAATCAAATTAGACTGTTCAGTCACGGCAGTCATTCGGCACCTAGCTGACTTCCAACCCGAAGTTCTTCACAAACACAAACACTCGAAAAGTTACGGCTGGATTCGAGCTAAGGATCTCTGGCACAGTGGCTCAAGCCATCCCACAACATAACATAATAAGAAAGGAGAGAATTTAGCTTAGTAATAATTAGACATAACGGATGATTCGAAAAAGTTAAACACATGAGATGAGAAGTCTTCGGGGGGTATTAAACGCATCCTACATTTTTCCCATGGTGACAATCAAGAAACAGGGTGCGCTTGATTGTGGTAAACCAAAGTGCATGCACGTAAGACCCGAATAAGCTGAAGATGGGTGTACTAAAAGATAACTTGATGCAGCTGCTATAGGAGGATCACTGCCTGAAGAAACAAAGTTTTAGAAATATTGATCGACTGTATGAAAGCACATTAGCCAGAGTGGAGGCGAGATCCTCACAAAGTGCAAACTCGGGTGGGAATGTGTGTGAAAACCGTATTCTATAGTTGACTGATGAACATGGTCAACTAAGAAAACTCCCCGAATGGCTACACGGACTCGAGAACTGACAAGTTGTAAGACTGAAATGCGGTGGGATAGAATTACAAACCCGTTATTTCAAACTATGTAAGTGGTATTAGTATATTAAGGTGGCAGACAAAAGGACATGCATGAACAGTAATATGTGGCTAACCATGGCTTTTGCTTTCGCTGTATTGGAGTCGAAAACATACAGGTAGTTATCCACGCAATCATCGGTGTTTGAAGGAATGTAGAAACTTTCAATTCTGAGCATAATTTTGGCGCTTTTCAACGGACTCTGTACGATTATTTCACAAGAGAACCCGCGTGGATAAAAGTTGTAGGTTGACGATAGGTTAATATTCTGAAAGGCGGCCGCTGTATGGTTGTGGAAATTCGTCAAGTCGTGTGAGTAGACGACAATGCCATCCTCCAAATTTTCGATCTGCAGATGTTTGGTGTTCTGATAAAGAAGGCGGTCTTGAGCAGCTGGAGTTTGACAATCCCTAGAGAGGACATCTGAAGAGGGAAAATAATGCGGTTCAACCTGTGTGGCTGCTCAAATAAGGTTAAGTCCATTTTTATAATAATTAACATCTTTTGAATTTCTCTCTCTCTCTCTCTGTTTCACATACTATTAGTAGAATTAAGCAAAACATAGCCGAGAAGAAACACCCAGCATTCATTCATGTGTGTTTAATAGAGGGAATGTGGTTGAACAGCAATCGGATGGACTCAGTTATAAAAAAACATCCAGAAAAGAAGCACCGAAATCACTGTATTGACTCGACCCTGAAAGATGTAGACCTTCGACTTCAATCCCAAGACGGAATTGTGCTTACAATCCATAATGACAGAATCCGTAAAATTAGTTAAAGTCGTTCAGTTTTTGGCGTATTCGGCACAAGGCAACCGAACCGCCTAGAACCATGGGGTGGAAATATTGCTAGGTCGCCCAAGCCTATGTAGCTGCGACAAAGACTCAAGGGCTCGATCCTGGTCCAGCTGTTGACCGTGAATATCAGTGAATGTGATCAAAAAGATCTATTCTTACTAGAGACCGATACAACTTCAAACGCACCTATGGTGAGCACTATTGTTGGCGCCCTCGGGCTAAGCAAGTTGAACACAGGAAGATAATCACTTTTCTAACCGCATGTCGTACATCATCATCATCACTGTCAGCCGTAAGAACCGCGTACTTGTCGTACAGGGTTTTAGCTGCCACAGTTTCGTTCACTGATGATTTGGGGAGGTAGAGTAGGTAGCTGCGCATTAGAGGTGAGAGCTGATAAATTGGTGCGTAAAACATGAGCCGAGCTGACGGTGGAAATTGAAAGTGAGGGTATTCAAAGGGAGCAGGACGTCACTGGCATTAATGGCGTGAGCCGTGGCTAAGGGCCCGAATATATCTCAGGTCATCCACGTGGCAGGACTATCCTTTGTGTTCACATTGTCGTTTCGTAATAACCAAGCTTTCGCCTTCGTTTTCAGCTTATGCGCGTCTATTCTTAGACAAGTAAAGCGCTACTCATACTACGCTATTCACGCTTGTGCTCGGGTGCTCGATACTCCATCTGTAACAAGTTACTTGTCTAAGAATACAATGGAACAGTTGCTTCGACCCAAGTGTTTCCAAATTCTCCAGGCTCCACAACACGTTGGAATCATTAGTTCCGAACCTCCCACACGTTTCTGGGCACTATCGAATCGCTAATCTAAAAAAAACTCGAGGTCATGATACATTTTGTGGATGCACCTGTATGTGTTTACATCGCTGACTGTCCCGATTACGAGTCCGCTATCAGTACACTTGGAAAGTTGTACGTTAGTCCTAAGAATATAATTCAAGCTAATCTTCTACAAAATTGCAAACAAAACATCAGTCAAAACGTTGATCAGTTTGTTCAGAGACTTAAATCCTTAGCCAAAAATTGTGATTTTAAGGTGGTGTCCGCCAATGACCACCAAAACGAAAGTCTACGCGACTTTCTGATCAACGAACTTCAGTTTGCTACCATCACAGAAAATACTTCTGGCTCAAAATGAACCTACTCTCGATGAAGCACATGAATTGGCTAGGTCACTAAGATCGGTTCACATACCTAGACGCTTGTCCGTTACCGCGACTGGATAATAATGATTAAAGAAATTTCCCGCCATGCAGTCTTTAGCACCCTAGACCTATTGAGTGCTTACCAATTAGTGAGAAAGGCAAAACCGTATACGGCTTTTGAAGCGTACGGAGAACTGCTTTAGTTTCGTCGTATTCCTTTCAACGTTACCAACAGAGTAGCATGCTTCCAGCGTACCATATAATCAAGTCTCAGAACCTAAGTGGCACCTACGCTAACATCGACAACGTCACTATTTGTGGGACTACCCAAAGTGAGCATGACCAAAACCTCAAATCTTTCCTTGAGATGATAAGAAATATGGAATTAAGCTTCACTGCAAGAAAAGCACCATAGCAGCCAAACAAATAAGCCTTCTCGGCTATGAAGTCTCTGAAGGAATTATCAAATCAGATCCTATTCGTCAAATCCCTCATTCCCATGATGCTAAATCCCAACAACGAGTTGTTGTCATGTTTGCTTATTATTCACAATGGATATCATACTTCTCTGACAAAATCAGTGCGCTTGTCAGAAATAAGACTTTCTCCTTACCGGAGCCGTACCGAGGGACTGTACAACAGTCCTTCGAAAATTTAAAGGAGTGAGAGAACTGTATGGTTGTGACAGTCAACGATAACGCACCCTTGGTCGTCGAGATGGGAACCTCAAAAAAATCGTTCAGCCCTTCCGGCACCTAGCTACTACGCTACCGGAGGGAAGCACGAGGGCTGGGATACTGCCAGGTGGCCTAAGCCTAGACAGAGGTCGGGCTCGAACTACGAACCTTCGGGTCAGTATAGTAGCACTCTAACCACTTGAACCATCTCGTCCCCATGGACGCCTCAGACGTAGCCATTACTGCATTTATGACCCAGAACAGTCAACCAGTGGCCTTCTTCTATAGAACACTGACACCCAGCGAAAAGAATTACTCTGCTATTGAGAAACAGGCATACGCCATCGATGAACCTATCCGTAAATGGAAGCATTACCTCTTCGAGAAGCACTTCAAGCTTATCACTGACCAGCGGTCAGTTTCCTTTATGAATGGTGTGTCGCAGAAAAGTAAGATGAAAAACGATATAATCCAGCCACAACAAATAAAATAATCGTTCGGCTGTAGCACCCTTTCGGTGCCTAGCTGCCATGCCGCACGAAGGAGACACGAGGGATGGGATAATGCCAGGTCGCCCAAGCCTAGACAGCAAAAAATCCAGTGATGAAAAATGGAACTCTCCACTTTTAACTACGATGTCAGCTACAAACCTGGAAAAGACAATCTGGAGGCTGAGACCTTGTCAACGTGATCGGTAATGATAAACTGAATGATATGATTCCTTGTGCCGCCCCGAAATTACTCCATTGCATCACTTTGTTCTTTCCAAAAACCGGCCGCTTTCCCTCCAAAATGTCAAAGACCACCGCAAAATATACGGTTTGTGCCGCCATCAAACTGCGATTTCACAAACCACCCCCATTACGCTCACCGAAGCGCCTCAACCATTCGAACGAGTTAGCGTCGATTTTAAAGGACCTCTGATTTCTGTTAATCGAGGCCGATATCTCCTTACTATCGTTGACGAGTTTTCCCGTTTCCCAGTTTCCTTTCCCTGGGCAGATACATGTGCGTCTGTGAATTAACCCCTTTGTTTGGTATGCCTGCATATGTAAATTCGGATTGTGGCTCCTCATTCATATCTGACGGAATTGTCCACATTCCTACATGACAGAAGAGTTTGTACTAGCCGAACAACTGCCTATAATCTCCAGATGAACGAGTAAGTCGAGCGCCTCAACGGAACACTCTGGGACTCAATCCAGCTGAAACTCAGGACGACAGGCTTTTAAATGTCACTGGCAGTCGGCTCTATCAGATGCCCCCCCCCATTCTATACGGTCCCTTCTCTGCGCCTCCACGAATGCCACTCCACATGAACGAATGTTTCGGCTTGAACGTCGGTCATCCTGTGGTTTATCTATACCAACTTGGCTAACTACCCCAGGACCTGTTTACTGAAAAGATTTGATCATGCCTCAAAGTTTGAACCAGCCGTTGATGAAGTCGAACGTATAAATTGCAAACCACATTGCGTCCATGATCGTTTTTCGGCGGAAAAGAAGGCACCCTATCCGTCCGCCATCTCGCTCCTTGTTGTGATCGCACACGTCAACGAATTCACGCGTACTTCATCCAGTGAAGGCAATAGCGTTCATACACCCCTCTAACTTGCGAGCACCTCCGCTCAATGACGTTGAAGATAATATCGATTATACATCGCCCGTGCCCGGGCGATGCAACTGCATCTTCAAATAAATATGACCCTGACACCTCTGATTTAGCCAGGCTCCAGCAGCGTACACGACTTTACATTCTAAGAAACCGAGAAGCCCGACCACAATTGTCATTATTCCTTAGTAGATTTTCACAATCAATATTTAGTATTCGTGTCCGACTTACCCCTCTCTACACAAAATCCAATAGCCCGGGTGAATGCCATGACCATCTTTTGTGTTCACATTGTCGTTTTGTAGTAACCATGCAGTAGTAACCATGTATAACCATTTTCAGCTTCTGCACGTTTATTCTTACAGAAGTAAAGCACTGTTCATTCTACGCTATTCGGTCTTGTTCTCTCAATCTGTAACACCATCCAAAATGGCCAAGCTCAAATAGGACTGGAATGCATGCATCCTTTGAGATCTCTTGATATGCCTTTTTGATGATACAAGCGGTATAAATTGGCAGAAGCGATTCTGCTCTTCGGGACGAGTAGGTTGATTTAGTCTGTCAAACTACCGTCAAAGCTAATCCAACCCCAAAGGTACGCACGGTGCTGCACAACTTCCAGTGTCACTCACTGAATACATAGAGAGACATGGAAAGGCTGTGCATTCCGCAACATTATCAGTTTACAAAGTCTAGGGTTCGAGACAGTTCGGTGGTTAAGACGCGAACTCACTGACCGGAAAGACGGTGATTTGAACCCAACCTTGAATGGTCCTTTCTAGATAGGGCATCCTGGCAGTACATGAGCCCTCGTGCTTCCTTCAGGTGGCATGATAGACAAGCGCCGAAAGAGCATTACAGCTTAACGGATCACTACGTCTCACTAAACCCATCCAGCGACGACGGTTTTGGCATCTGGTGTGCAGAAGCAGAGCTGACTTTCTTAAACAAGCCAAACCAAGTATGCGTTCTTCGCCTCGGGAGGGGGGCAGCTGAATACTCGGCATAATACAGTCGAAGGAACAACATTATCTCCTAGTTATCTATCGAGTCCGCCACTGGAACCTACAACAGATCGTGACTTATGCAAATACAATAGTCTGGGGAGTGTATCTGATACGTTCCTGAATTAAACCAATCGTCATCATCAAAGGTAGCAACA